CCATTAAATCCTTCCCTCCCTTCCTTCCTAAATGGAAATCGCATGCACTCATCTCATAGCTATCACCTTCCTCGTCATATACACTCGAATTAAGCCCGACAATTTCGTAGCATTGAAATTTTTTCGGGATCAGCAATCGTTCACATGTGAAGGATAGAAGACATTTAAGCGAAATTCTACGAATGAAGAGCGAAGAAAACTGAAAGAATCCGAATGAAAATGACTTTATTTTGAACATGGAAACAGAACTGGATAATTCGCAGAAATTCGCACAAAAATTAATGGATACAAAGTATGAGGTGCTACAAGATAACAGTTTCACTGCAATTTAGTGATATGCGAACCGAAAAGAGGGTATAGATTTACGATGGAGGAATATTTCAGTGACTGATAAATTTTTCGAAAAATCACTTTCAATTATACAATTGTATCTTCTTAACTACACTGAACGATACCAGAATACTACAGACAAAAATGGAATGAAATAACATCAAATTAAGAATGAAATGTTTCGAAATGGAATGGAAAACGAAATGAATCAATCATGAACGGAGATTGTTCGTGAGAGGCTTTACTGCACAATATCCAAGTGACACATGGATGGACGATAGGACGGTAATATATCACTTTTTTTGAATGAGTCAGTCGAATAAATTGAAAATCATATGCTAGAGAAACAGCATACTTTGCCGAGAATAAAAAATTTTTTGGCCGATAGAACACTTGGAAACCTTCTTCTCTATGCGAACGCCACTATCAGACAAAGAGGATCCTCGGAAAATGTGAAAAAAAAGACGAAGAAACGAAAATCTCTGAATATAGTAAAAAACGAAAAGCAAAAGTTTTCAACATTCTTTAACGGCTAACTTTCTATCGTTGCCAACCAAATCGAACCATCCCGAATCATCAGCCTTATCGTTGTATGGTCCAAGACGGATTTGTTTGGCATACGCCATAAAAAGAAGACGTTTCTCGTATGGCACCGATAGTTCACCGCTTTTCTCCTTCTCTTAAAAATGGCCAAATTAATGGTATCAA